AATTGGTTCACAAGTTAACCGCAATTAACAAGTACAACTCTAGAACATATGTAGGTCCTCATTTGACAAGGGCAAGCACACACATATTCACAGCATTAGAATCCTAGATATGCTTACTAAGTATGCATCTGTAGAAAACACATAAAGAATTCATCAATGAGACAAGTAGTGAACCAATTTTCATCCATTCATAAAAGTAATTCAAACATAACAAACTTACAATCATATTTGGGGCTTCAAAACAGGCCCTAACTACTAAAAATTAGTTACACATAATCCTTATATAAAACCAAAAGAAAGACATGAGTTTGAGAAGATAAAACCGAAAGAAGAGAATGCCAAGATTTCCTCATTCCTTTCCTTCCTTCCCCAACGCAGCAGCCTTGCCTTTTTTTTCTTCCTTTCCTTTCTTTCTTTTTTTTCCTATCTTTTTCTTCTATCTTTGCCGCTGCAACCTGCAGCCTTTTTCTTCTTTTCTATATTTTTTTTTCACTTTTCCACTGGGCATTCTTTTCCTCTCCCATAACTCACCAAACTTAGTAGTCACTTTATTGTCATAAAAGAGAAGAAATGGAAAATACAATTTTAACTCCTTGCTAGCCTCTTAGTATTTCACTTGCAATAGCCTTCATGTCAATTAATCCTCCACTTAATCCTCATCTTTATTTCCAATTTAACTTTGCTAAAACTTCTCTTTCTCTTGATTTGTGTGACCGGCTGACCATGGAAAATGGGAAAGAATTATGTAGCTTTTTCTTCCTTGTCGGTTCAATCACATAAGCTTGTAATTCTACAAATTGTCATGTGCTGGTGACTTCACCAAGTAATTCCAACAAGTTACCTACAGGCAAGTTACATGAAAATGATTTAAGCCACATGTAACTTCTATAGTCAAGTAGTCCATACTTCAACCAAAGGCTATGGGCATAAAGATTTAAATTATAAGAAATCACATGATTAAATTAGAACCAAGGAATTATAACATAATTTTTCTCCAACTCATTAATTTAATTATATAAACACAAAACCATGTAATTCCTTTCATTTAAATCCAAAATTTAACTAGAAAATGTAGCTTTGGGGATAAAATATATATGAAAATATGCACTCATCATGTTGATTAGTAAAGAAAGTGTCATTCTTTCTAGTGAGTCTGTTGAAAATTGAAGTTTGTTGTTTTGGTAAAGAAAGTGTCATTCTTTATGGTGGTTCTGTTGAAGATTAGAGTTTGTTGTTGGATAATAAAAGTGTCAGTCTTTTTGGGAGTAAAAGTAATTTTCTTAGAAGTAGCAAGTGTTTTTGGTGTTGTATGTTGGAGTGTTATTCTCTCAAGATTGTCTGTGTGCATTCAAGATTGTGTTAGTTCAATTGTTTTTTATGGCATCTTCATCATTCAAAATAGACAACTTGTTGGGTATGCTTACTATAAAACTCAAAGATGACAATTTTGCTAAGTGGGCGTTTCAATTTCAATCAGTCCTTAAATGATATAAGACGTTTGGTCATTTTGATGGCACCAATTGTGTGTCCACCTAAATTTGTAGTGAGTGTTGAAACTGGTATCACAAAGGAAATCACTTCTGCTTTTCTTGATTGGGAATCCGTGATATGGCACTTAGCAGTTTGTTACTCGCTACATTAATAGATGAAGCAATGAAATATGTTCTTGGGTGTAGAATAGCCTTTGAGGCATGGTTAAATCTTATTGGAAGATATGCTTCAGTCTCTAAATCTAGGGTAAATCAATTAAAGACTGAACTGCATACAATTCAAAAAGGGTACATATAGTATTGATAAGTATTTGATGCGATTGAAAAACATTATGGAACAATTAATTGTTGCAAGGGAAGTAATTTCTAAGAATGATATCATGATTATTGGTTTGGCTGGTTTACCAAAGGAGTATGTTGTTATTAGAACTGTTATCTTGGCAAGTGAATCATGTACTACGTTAAGGGAATTTCGTGCCTAACCACGTGGTGCTGAAAAGGAAATTGAAGGAGAAATGAATTAGTTATCTCAGAATATGTATGCTCTCTATGTTCAGGGTTCAAGTTCTAGTACTACTATTGGTTCTAATATGTATGGTCAAGGTTCTTCTTCTGGTGCATCCTCTTCTAATCTTCAGAGACATAATCGCATTTCTGCCACCATATGAGAACTCTTATACAGTAGCCATATGGTTCATCTACTTATCCTTCTATTGGTTCTTGTGATTCTCAGACATTCTATCCCGATACATCATTGTCTAATCCTCCATGTCATCATGCTCCACCTTTTGGTTGTGGTTTTTTCAATCAATCAAATTCTGGAAATCAACAAGGTTTCAAGCCTCAATCTTCTAATAATGGATATAGATCTTATAATAGGGGTCAGTACAAGAACAATAACAGCAACTACAAAAATAACAATGGCTTTAGAGGAAGAAGATACAACAATGGTAATAATTACTATCCAGGTGGATCAAGACAAGCTCATAATGGAAATGGTTCTCGATCAAGCAACACTGAAATAAGAACACTATTGTAATTGAATGCCAAATTTGTAATAAGAAGCTCAGATTGCTGCCAATTGTTTTCATAGGAATATAGACACTTCCACTACTGGTTTTGTTGTTGAATGCCAAATATATGGCAAAAGGGGACACTCTGCACTTGATTGCTTCCATAGAGGAAATTACTCTTTTCAAGGATAGTCACCACCATCATCTTTGTCAGCTATGAATGCATAACAAGCGACTCAATTCATTCTACATGATTTATGGACTGTAAGTTCAAGTGCTTCCAATCATATGACTGCCGATATATCTTCTTTAACTTAAGTTGCTCATTTTCAAGGCTCTGGGAAAATTACCATTGGTAATGGTTCCAGTTTATCAATCCAAAATACTAGTTTTACTACAATTTAAACCAATAATCATTCACTTATTCTCAGTAAAGTTCTTCAGGTCCCAAATATTGCAAAAAGTCTTCTTTCAGTTAAACAATTGTGTGCTGATAATAAGAGTTAGTTTATATGTGATGAATCTGAATTTTTTATGCAGGACAAGAAGACAAGGGATGTAGTGTATCATGGAAAGAGTAAGCCAGAAAAGTTGTTTCATATACCTGTGATTCACAAGTTAAGAGAGGTGCAATCTATTACAAATGATCATGTTGCTTACTTGGGAAAAATGGTGAAGTCAAGTGTTTGGCATCACAGGTTGAGGCATCCTGCTCATGATACTATGTCTGTAATGTTGAAACAGTCTAGGGTAATACATAGTTTAGATAGTACACATATTACTTGTAGTTCATGTATTCAAGGGAAAATGTCAAGGATTCCATTTTCTGATAGAAATGATAGAAGCTTGGTTCATTTTGAGAAAGTTCACATTGATATTTGGGGTCTATCTCCTGTAAAATCCTTAGAAGGATATAGATACTATGTACTTTTTGTGGATGAATATACAAGATTGGTTTCGATATTTCCCATGTGCAATAAGTCATATGTGTATGCAATCTTCGTTAAATTCTACAATTTTATTCATACTCAATTTTGGATGTCAATCAAGGGACTACAAACAAATGGTGGAGGTGAATACACCAGCAAGTGTTTTACATCTTTTTTGGCTAATAAAGGTGTTATGTAGTTCATTTCTTGCCCTCATACTCCTCAACATAATGGCATATCTGAGAGGAAACACATACACATAGTAGAAATTGCACTAACTCTTCTTAATGCTACTAGCCTATCCACTGAGTTTTGGTATTTTGCATGTTCTCATGCAGTGTTTTTAATCAATATGATGTCATGTAAAACTCTATCCTTTAGTTCTCCATATATGTTGTTGTATAACAAGGCATCTGAGTTGCAATCTTTGAAGATTTTTGGGATAGCAATTTATACTACTATTTCTGGAAGGAGGTTGCACGGCGCCGAGGGGGGAGGGAGGTGGGTCGCGGGGTGGGGGGGGGACGAACTGGGTTTTGGGTTTTTTTTTTCCCTTCTTCTTCTTCTTCCTGCTGCTGCAGGTTTTTTTTTTCTTTTCTTCTTCTTCTTCCTCCCTCTTCTTCTTCTTTTTGTTGCTGCAACAGGTTTTTTGGGTTAGGGATAGGGATGTGGGTCGCTGGGGGGGGGGGGATAGTGGGTTTCTTTTTTTTTTTTTGAGAAAATTCAGGTTTTTTAATATTTTATTTGCCACATGGCAGACATTTGGCAACCACATCAGCATTTAATAGATCAATGGATGGAAAATGTAACGGATGTATTATTTTGAAATAAAATAGTACTTAAGGTATGAAAGTGAAATGTTTTGAAGATGTTGTAAGGAATTGAAATAGATCCTAAACCTGAGGTATGAAAGTGTAATTTACTCTAAATATTTTGTAGGAGAGAATCAATATTATTAAGAAAAATCTCATTGTCAATCATTATGTAGGAAATGACTACTATATTTTTGTTTAATAAAAATAATGTCAATAAACGAGTTGTAAAATTGCGGTTGCTCTAGTAATTAGGCACTCTGTACTTTTGAGACCTACAAACTGTCCACTACATATGTCACCTTACAATTACATCCGCATCGTGTGTATCATCCGTTCAATTTATTATAACGAGATAGAGCTTAAAATTTTCGCATCCTCTTTGTTGATCAATTGCATTGATTTGCATACCACTACAAAAAAAGGGGTCTTATCGCAAAAGTAGCCAAATACATCGCAATAGCCCTTTAACGACGGTCAGTAATGCGTCACAACAAGGTGGTGTTGTAAATGTTTGGTCGATCATATGCGACGCTTTGAGTGCATCACAAATACTATTTACTACGGGTTTGCGACAGTAGGTTACGCATCACAAATAAGTGGTCTCAGGTTTAAAAAAATAAATAAACAAATTGGGTGTCAAATGGATGCCACAACGACATTATTTTTGATAGCTTCACCAAAATTATTTGATTTGAAATTTACTATAGGTTCCAAACTAAAATAACAATCCAACCTCACTGATACTATTCATAATTGACAAATCCAAAAACATTTATTTGGTTTCTTTGAGAATGAAGAATGTATTTCACTTCTAGTATTTAAACAGATATACATTATCCTAAACACTTGTATCATCTATAATCCTACAGGAATTATGTCACTCCAGATTGGCTTGTTGGTTCAACAATTAACTTCCTCCCCTTAACCCTGCTGGTAATTATGTCACTCCTTACAGCAGCTATACTCTTAGTCCTCTGCATAGAGGCTCAAATTAAAACGGAGGTATGCCCACCTATTGACTGGGAATTAAAAGTATCTAATTCAATGGAACTCTTACTGGTAATTAATGATTCAAAGTCGTTTCCTTTCCCTTTACCAGTGTAGGTTGCGTGAAGATCTCCATTGTCACCCTTATTCTCCGCATCAAATTCAAACATCAATGCCTCTGCAACAGTGCAAGAATTTAAGTTATTACAAACACAAGGTAGGCAAATAATTTGGGAAACAAAAAGAAAAAACTAAAGCTCTGCTTACCAATGGGAGGTGCAGTGTTCTTGAAATACAATTGAATATGAAAGTTAACAAGTTGAACCCCAATAAACTTGGGAAGCACTCTGAGAGGCATATCACTGCGGACAAGGAATTTGCAGTCAGAAGCACAGGATAAGCGACAAAACCATGAGAGAACACTTTCATATAAGACAAGCTATTAACAAAAAAGAGTTTCCCTTTGCAATAACAAGTGTGTCCTCCTTTTTCTATGCAAATCTTAAATAATGATACGGTGTGTGAAAATTATTTGGTACGTAGGCTTCACAACATAGGCAACCAATTTGTGCAAACCATTATACAATCAGGACCAATCTTAGAAATTCATGAGCAATCTCCCCCTCCCATGTACTTTTTATTTTGGTAAATATACGTATTCGATGCAGTGAAATTCTTACAGGTCAATAACAGCAATCCTTTTTCATCGTCGCAATACAAATCAAGATAATTAAAGCACAAAGGAAGGGGTAACTAATCAACTACTTGTGTGCATAATGGTTCCAAGGGTCTAACAAACCATTGACCTTGAAAGCTGAATGATTCTGAATTTCCTATAAGCATAAATGAAGGGGAACCATTTTTCCATTGCAGCAGCAAATTAAGACAATTAATTTGATTTTTCCTACGAGCATAACTTAGTGGAACTTTTACTGGTAACACATTAAATCAAATAAATTCTACCAACCAACCGAGATGATCTTCACATTCCACGGGTTCACAATCTTTGCTCTAACTCCACACTATCATCTTCGAATCTCATGAAAACCCCCATAACTGCATCACAAGACAACATACACAAACAACACAATCCATAACAGCTAGAATGCGCTTTCAGAAGTCACATAAAACAAATTCAGAAAGCTACAATCTCAATGACCAAGATAACAATTTCTCAATGCAATTAAAACCTTAGAACTGAAAGTTTCCACTTACTCTAATTGAAAATCTCAACAAGACAAAAACCACCACAACCCAGTCCCAATCCTCCGCCTTCAACGCCGAGGGTTTATCCCTAACCTCATAAGCAATCACCACAGGATCCCTATCCTTGCTAAACTTCTTCTGCACCTTCAAGCAATCCGACCTTGCCCTCTTCATCTGCTTCACCTTTACATCAGTGGGTATATAAACCCCATCTTCCAAAAACTCCTTCGCACTGTAAATCATAATCAGACGCACTGGCACCAAAAAGAGAAATCAAAACTTCATTGACAAAGAGAACTCAAAGACCATTCCGTAATTATGAACATTGAGCGATATTTCTGTTTGGTTGTGAGAAAACGCAAGAAACAGAATCGGATTTTTCATTCATCAAAACTTTTCTCAGGAAACAAACAGAGAGAGAGAGAGCATACGGCAAGTGATCAGAGCATAGCTTCGCTGGAAATCGAGAGAGATAGGGGATTTGATTTGGGGTAACTTGATTGTAGATCTGAGAAGTAGCCACTAACTTTACCTAAAGATTAAAAAATGGTGAAATATCTTTCTTCTAAAGATGGGGTTAGGGGTGGGCATAAAAACCGTCAAACCGTAAAATCACATCGAACCGTAAGAAAAAAAATCGTGTTGACCGGAAAAGTCAACTTTGAGTGAAAAACCGAACCGAACCGTTCAAACCGGTTCCGGTTTCGAATGACCAAGAATCGGCCGAACTGAACCGAACCGTTTTATTAATAATAAATAAATAAATTATATATACACACACATGTCATGGTATAATAGGTTGAAAAATTGTGTACAGCAGCTGCTGCTTCCTGCTTGCTCTCTGAAGTCTGAAAACCTGCAATTTGCTTCATCATTTTTTTGTTTGTTGACTGATTGACCAGTGCATATGTATTTTAGTTATCTCTTTTTGTTGACTTGGTGCCACTACCAAAGACATTTGCATTAAAAAAGATGTGTTGTATGCAACTTTACGTAATCAGTTTTAGAAGATATATTTGAATGCATAATGATTTGGTGTTCAAATAATTTATTATTAGGAACCGTAAACCGGCAAGAACTGAATCGGAACCGGTGTAGACCGAACCGTAATGTTCTAGTAATAAATTTAAGTGGAACCGCACCGAATTGAACCGTTAATATATTTCGGTTCCGGTTCCAGTTTAGGGATGGAACCGCACCGAACCGCACCGTGCCCACCCCTAGATGGGGTGCGCTAAATGAAATTTTTTGAAAATGCGTCGTATCAATTACATCATTTGCGACGTTACTTAAACTAGAGTTGTAAAAGTTTCATCCCAAACACCATGCACGCTATACTATTGAGAATTTGCGATGGTTGTGTGCACTGTCGCAAATAAAGTGTCGTTAAAGGGCCTTTTTCTTGTAGTGTACAGGACTTGGTGGTGGATAACGGATGTTGTGCATATATGATGCGAATTAATTATAACCTAGAAGCCGGATTTCTGTGCAACCGTTATAGATATATGCATGTTCCAACGACTCAGAGTACATGTTTTGGGATGGTACCATCCTTCAGGAAGGGCCTACCAGTTACTTTCCTCTCTTGTCCTCGATAAAACTATCAACAAATTTTTTTGTGGTTATCAACAAATTTTTTTGTGGTTATCCACATTGAGATGGACTGAGTCATTTACTTATTCGTGATGATAATAAATTACTTGAAACGGTAATTTTTATTCGGCATCTTAGAAAATTATATATATACTAAGATTCAGTTTTCTAGCATTGTTCATTAACAGTGAACATACGGAAATGCCCTTGGTTTCTTATTTGTTAGTTGTGTTGTTCCCACTCTCCTACAGTAAATTGACTGTTTTGTCCATGAACGCCACGCATTGATGATCGTTTATCTCAATGGTTCCATTCAGTGTTCTAAAACGCGACCTAGGCGGCTGCCTAGTCACTGGGCGGTGGTTCACCGCCGCGATTAAACCAAAATCGTTGAAGAAATCGGAAAGGGTATTAGGCGGCACCTAGGCGGGCACTGGGCTGGCTAGGCGGCCTCAGTGGCCTCAGTGACCGCCTAGGCAGCTTTGATGGTTAGTTGACGTCGTTCTTCCGCTGTGGTAATGAGGTTGGATGACTGGGCAACCATCCCGACATTTCGATCTGCAGAAAACGAAGACGATTTGGCTAGGATGAGACGATTTGGCTGGGATAAGAGCGATAAACATCGATTTGCAATTAAAGAATAGTGGATCTGCAATTGCAAGGTAAAGAAGAAGGACAGCTTGGCTGGGGGGAAAGAGTGAGAGAGAGATAGGTATCTGCAATTGTAGATAACCAAATGAGGTAGCTGTGCTTGATTAATTAGAGTTCGGGTTTTTTTTTTCTTTTTTAAATGGAGAGGAAGATGAAGGAGCGACTTGAGGTTGGGAGCCCAAAGTGGGCTGAAGGTCCAACAACACATCATTGGCTCCAGCATCCCATATCCTATCTCCCTCCGGGCTTAGCTACTAAGGGGTTTGGGGTTGGGCTCTCCCCATTGAGTTTCTTTAAAAACTAGGGAATAAACATTGTTTTATATTAATAAGAAAACAAGCCCAGTTCATTTTTAATGAAGAACAAGGGCCCAACAATGATTAAAATAAATAGACTAACTAAATGTTACAAAATCAACATAAAAAGTCCTAAAATTTTACACATATACTTAAATCGGTCTTGACGTCCTAGGCGCCCACCTAACCACCTAGGCGCTAGGTTACAGCCGACCACTTGACTAGCATCTAGCGTTTTTTAGAACTTGGTTCCATTCCATCTTCTTCGCTTTACCTTTTAGTTTCGTTTTGTATCCTTCACAAATCTCTGCTTCTGTCCGTCTTCATGTTGCTCTCTTCCTCTCAAATCCTTTGTTGTTTTTTCTCACAGAATAGTCACCAGTAAACTAGGTTTTCGTTTGTTTGCGGATTTTGTTTCCAGTCTCCTTTTTCAAAATAGTCCTGTATATATGTCGACGTTTAGTCGAAGCTGACCAAAACGTTTGGTCGAAACTTACAAAGTTGGTTTCGAACATTTTATCCTCATCTTGCAATCGTTGGCACAAGAATGTCAGGGTGTTGGTCTCTATATTTGCTGGCGATCCTGGAGTTGGGACCAGCTTTCTTACAAATTGTTAGCCGGCTCTGAGCGCGGCGTCCTTTGAAATTATTGTCTGAAAAATTGTATTGAGCTTAGGTATATTCTAAAATAACTCTGTGTAATTTTCTGTTTTAAATTTGTGTTCGTTTGAAAGAAACCCTAACAATTTGTTTTGTGTTGATTTGTAGCGGTTTGTTGAGAATTTGCCAGCTAAAACGTTTGGCTTCCTCCGCTGACAAGTCTGAGAATTTGCAGGAGCTGGAACATTACTGTTGGTTTGGGTATGCTCTCCCTGCCTTCAGTTTTTTCCAATTCTATATGCATTTTTTATTTAGATCGTTGGAGTTTGTGTTTTTGTTTTTTGTATTAAATTTTGTGTATTTTTATTTGGATGGAAGGTTTGATCAGATTACATTCTTATTTAGAATTGATAGTTGTTGTTCAATTGATGGGGATATTAGAATATTGATATTTAATTTTGGTGTTTGATAAACTGTTGGGGTCCCGTTGGTTGCATTATAGCTTGCACCATTTTTACAACGTCTACATAACGGGCAAATCTGTATGTATTTTTCCTCTGATTAAATGTTTTTGGTTTCAGTTTTGTAAGCATTCATATTTTACTAATTGTCTAAGAGCTTCCATGGGATCTGGCCTATGTTGTTACTTCGCGGTTACCTCCGTTGGGGTTGAAAAAACCACAAACGCAATGTAAGTCTGAAAATTATTCAAAAGGTTGTAGAAATTTTAATTTTTTTTTTATCATAAGGGTTTTTAACAATTCGGAATACGTTTGCATTGTTATCCAATCTCATGTTCTAGCAATGCTTATAAAGATGACTGTTAGTTTATCAAAGAAGGGCTCTAGAATGGTAGAAAACACAAAAGGTTTGCAAGAATTGAGTTTTATCTGTTTTGTTTCATTGAATATAGATAGGAATTCAGAATTCAAAGAATGATAAAAATTCTTACATTTTGCTCCAAAAGTTGCAATTTCAATCCTACATCGACAAATTTCTCGGACGGCCACTGACTAGAGCTTGACATTCAGATTCAATGGCTAGATTGGCAACAAATTTAATGGGAAATGCATCTTCAAAGGTATGCCTCTGGAGCAGATTTAAAGGTAGGAATTTTTAATTTTTTCGTGAAATCAATGTTTTGTCGTGGAAGGAGTTTATAATAGATTGGTTGGACAAGTACATAGTGTTTGTTTGGTTGAATGTAGAAAGGAATTGGAAGAATTATGAAAATACTTGCATTTTGTTGCAGGAGTTGGAACTTCAACGCTGCATGGAGGAAATTGTTATATGTTCGGTGGCCAGAGCTTGACGTTGGCAACAAATCTACTCGTAAATTGTCATATGCTTTTTTGTTGTTTCTTGGTGAAAGATTGATTAGCGTTGATTGCTATTGTTTTTTCATGGTTGATTGAGCATTTTGGTTGTATGAAACTATAAAGAACAGTTGCCTAGATGCTAAGTTTTTTTTTTTCATTTCTTGATGCATTTGTGTTGATCAGGCACGGATGGACCGGTCGATACGTATTGCATATGTGGGACAATAGTTGCAACAAAGAAGGGCAGAGCGGGAAGGCAAGGCAAGGTTTGTCAAGAAAACACAATGATGTTTTTAATTACAAGAAATGTGCATTTTTTTTTCCAGTCAAATTCTGCTTTTGTTCTGACTATTTTCCGTACTATATGCTGATTTTATTTTTTAATTTTTGGTTTTTCTTTGATTAGCTGGGGAATTAAAATCAAATGATGAATCTTCAGTTTACTTGGGTAAGCATTTTTTCACATATAATTTGGCTGACCATTTTAACAGTCAAACCATGTTGTTTTAGTTCATGCTACTGATCATGCATTCACTAGATTTATATATACAACAGCATTTAAATGCTAATCGATTACTAACATAATGCGGTCTTTACAGGAAAAGCAGTGGATTCTCAAGAGGGGCTTCAATGTACAGAAGAATTACAAGGTCTTATTAGTTATTCATAATTTTATAAAATAATTTAGATAAAATATCGATGAGAAATAAGATATATACCAAATAAAACTCTCTAAATTCTCTTTGTTTTGTTTCTTCTCTGTGTAGCAGACGTCATCAACATGGAAAATGGCTAGCCAGGATTGGAAAGGTTGCTGGAAATAAGGATCTTTATCTTGGGACATTCAGTCAGTGATTTTTCAAACTTTATTTGTGTTTTTTAGTATCTAAACAATTTCCAAATATTTTTAATATAATCAGTGAAACCACAATTTCATGTCCTAGCTAGCTACTAGGATGCTTGGTTTTTGTATGATTCCAATTATTTGAGGTATCTGGGTAAAGTTTTGTTCAAAGTAGGAAAATCAATTTAAACTCAAGCTTCTTTACAAGCTTGAGGAGAGATTTTAGTCTTATAATGATTAATAATTAAGATACAATTAGGGTAATACAT